TTTATTACCTGTGGTATTCCTAATGCCTAGAACAGTATCTGGTACATAATAGAGTCTCACATTTAACTAAAGTGTGAATATTTGTGGAAAATGAAGCTTTTTTTTGTTTGTTTAAGTATCTACCGCTTTCTGGCAGTATTTAACAATAAAATCTTTCCAAACTACAAGTATATTTTGAATAAATATTCTTTTGTCCCTTTAAATTACAAATATAAAGTAGGTTCAAGGAAAAATACAAATGCAACAGAATAGTGTTCTCTGAGAATCATTTTTGCCTATTAGCTTTTTAAAAAGTACACTCAGGGAGGGGTTAAAGACACAGCGCTCTCAAGCTATTGCCAGCCACTGCAGCACAAGTTTAATCCTCTGGCCAGGATGCTCACTGTCACTGACATGGCACAGCAGACTTCCAGACTTCTGTCTCACCCTCTGTCCCCTCAGCAGTACTTCATTGATCTGCCTGTTCTGCTTCCTACTCTGTCACTGGTGAAGCCTCTCACCTCCCATATCCCCTGTTCTTGTATGCATAAATAAAATCTTTTTTAAAAAAGGCTAAAAAACATTTAACAAATAAATTAATTAAAAAGTACATACACTCAGCCATACTACTCTTTTGACTCTGGCTTTGTTTACTTAATGTATCTGTCCAACTTTTCTAGGTCACTATAATTAAAAATACTTCATTCTTTTAAACTATAGCATAACATTTCATAGAATAATAAAAATTTCCTTTAATACAATTTAAAAAATTATAGTCCTTTTGATATTTTGATATGACTCAGTAAACTATGTTTTAAACTTACCTTTGCTTTTTGGAAAGGAAAGGTTTCTTTAGAGAATTGAATATTTTTATGTAACTCTTGAAATTTACTTTCTCAATAATTTGCTTGTCTCCATTTTCCTTGTAGGAGCTGCTGCGCAAGAGGTTATCAAAATAATCACCAAACAATTTGTAATTTTTAACAATACTTATATCTATAGTGGCATGTCACAAACTTCAGCAACTTTCCAGTTGTAAAATGAATGCCCTAAGATTGTGTTAATGGTTGAAAGTATAATTGTGGTAAGGTTCTGATTTATCTGTCAGTTTCCGCTAAGGGAACTGTTAAATTGTTTCCTTAATAAACATTTTTCTCATTTGTAATGGGGTGTGTTCTTTTCAGAGAGGAAAGAATGTGATCATTTTCTCAGAATAAAAGCTATCCATTTCTCATTAAATCATTACTACTGGCTTGCTATTTCAAAGTTGCTATTCATAGAAATCTCTTGTGTTTCATTAGAAATAGTTTAAAATATTTTTCTTTCTTAAGAAATTTAAACTGCAAATTTTAACCATACTTAGAACATAAGTATTCAATCTGATGGAATTTTGAAAGTCAAATATTTATGATGTATCAGTTTTATTAGAAAACAAGACTATCTCCTTGTGTGTGGTATTATCTTACCTGATTTAGGTTTTGCCACTTGAAAATTCTAAAGGGGCATTCCAGCTATACAGCTATACTAGGTAAAATGTTAAATTTCAGTTTAAAGGATAATCACACTGAACTAATAGCATTCACCAGCATGCCAGAGGATGGACAAATAAAACCAAACACTAAGTTGAAATTAGCAGCAGAGGAGGAAACTATGGAAGGGGCCCAAGGCCCAGTTTCTAATTGATTTATGGCTGAGGAATATGTCACATAACTGTCAACACCTTATGGCTACTAAGCCCCCTGCACTTTAGTCTCTGAGTCTAGATGTGCCAAAAAACTGCTTCACATGGGTTCTTTTTTTTCCTGGACCCTTCCTGATCTCACTGGATCAGCAGACATTTCCCACAGTAGGCACTGCTCCCTGATAGTATCTTTTGTTCATCTGTCACCATGCCTGGTTTATTTTTTTTTAATTATTTCCTTATTGTTCTATATAGATGCTCAACTTTTTTTTTTTATTTTACAAAAGTTTATTTTTACATCATTTTGTACAATTTTTTTTCCATCTCAGTTGTAATCCCCGCGGGTTTCCCATCACCAAGTCACCTGTGTGCCATCACCATAATCCCGTGCCTTTCCCCTGGGGGTATTTTTTTAACAGAGGAGACATGGGACAGCACATAAAGACAATGCTAGGCTTTGGGCAACTTGGGGCTCAAGATCTCTGCTTCTGGTAGAGGAAGGGTACGTGGGCTGAGCTCCTGAGATAGCCAGAGGATGCAGGGGCAACGCGGATGGACCCACTGGTGTCTGTGTTGGGATTTACCAACAAGATGAGAAACCCAAGGACAGAGAGGACACCACTCGAAGGGATGCTTGGGAAACAGGAGTGAGGGCGGGCCTCAGATGCCACACCCCCTTCTAACGCCTGCACATGCGCAGTGTGAGCAGGCCGCCCTCACTGACCTGGACCCCTCTCTTCTAACACCCCTTCAACGCCTCTTAGCGGAAAGGAAACCTCCAAACCGGGGCGTCAAGATTAAGGGATTTTCTCTTCGACTTTGAATTTCTATCAGCCACACACAACCCCGCTGCCCTCAGAGATTTCGTGTGAGGGAAGCAGGCCCGGTGTCGTGGTAGGCGCTGAGGGAGAGAGGGCGGGGGGCCTGCGCGCCGCTGAGGGTAAAGGCCTCGGACCCAGCCTCTGCGCGTGGGGGTCCTGCCCTCACCCAGGGACCCTTTCCCGCCCCTGTGGGTGGCGGCCGTGTGTCCCCCCTGCGCCTTCCTAACCTGCTGGGAGGCGGCTGTCGAGCGGCCTGACGGCCTGACCCCGGAAACCCAGACCCCAGCGGCAGCTGCGTGAGGAGAATCTTCACTTTATCTCGTCAGGCCCCCCGCGGCGTTCTACCCTGATTGTACTTCGCAACCCTCAGGGCGCCTACAGCTGCTTTTGGGGTATTGGGAGGACTGGGAACCGTTTCTGAGCGGCTTGGAGGGGAGGGGTGCAGGGGGCTGTTCCTATTGCTGATTTCAGACCCTCTTGCTGCTGGTGAGTCTGCTGTGGGGGAGCCAGACCCTCGCGCCATTAACCAGCTCCCCGTTCCTCACAGGAGTTTGAGAATCCTGAGCTAAGAAGAGCCCCTGGGGACCACCTATGCTTGAAAGTTCTTCCAGCACTTTAGGTGAGCCAGGCATGGTGTCAGTGATTGGAAACTGAGGCAACAGGGTGGGCTTGGCCTTCCCTTCAGGAGAAGAGCTTGTGGGGGTGGAGGGGGGCGGGGCTCGGAGGTGGGGGGGCATCTGTGGATGCCAGAAGCGCCGGGGGCCTGGGGCCTGCTACCGGTTCTCTGGGCCCTTAGTAGTAGTTCGTTCTCAAGCTGTAAACTGTGGAAACAGAAGATTTGTGGGTACTTGCTTCCCCTACATTCGAGGGAATTACCCTCTTGGTTTGAGGCCAAGCAAGATATTCACTGTCAGCAACTTAATCGGAATTAGCAGTGGGATTTCCAGTCCTGCCTGCCTTTGCCATAAAGATGTTAATTATCTTTCTGATATTTGGGATGCTATTTAGATTTCAAAAAAGCTTTTCATCTTAACATTTTTTTTAAATTAATTTTTTAAAATTTATGCATTCAAGAACTGGGGTGTAAACCAGAGGAAAGGGTGGGGGGAGGCGGGTTGTTGAGAGGATTCACCAGAAAGAGTGGGGAGCAGAAAAGGCAGATTAACTGAAATTCACCGCTGAGGGGAGCAGCAGACCAGACAGAAGTCTGCTGTACCTTGCGGACAGCTTCATAGCACTGACTTTAACCCCTATGCTACCAGGAAGGCCCATCATCAGTTTTTAGATCAGGTAAAATGGTAATGTTCAGGCAGCTTTCTTGCTTACATTTGAATTATCTACTGTTTTGGGGTGTAGACTGAGTGAAACTTGTAAATAGGATCATCTTGTTTCCTCTACAAGAGTAAAGTAAAAATGTTTGAACATTTGCTGTACATTACAATTTGCACCCATTCACCAAATCACAAAACATTTAACCTGCTTAACTGGGCATGTTTTTGCTCTTGAGAATAGACAATGTTTTTAAGTTTTAAATGTAATTTTATAATAATCAGTACTTGAGAAATATGATTTGTTCTTTGTAGTGGAAGTTTTTAAGCCTTTATCTAGTAAATCGATGACTTACGTTAATGCTGTTAGGTGCTTGCACAAAGTCTTATTTTTCTGTGCAAAATAATCATTAGAAAACAATATAAGACAGAGGGAAATGGCAGATAGTTTATTTTAATTTCAATTTCAAGATATTTAGGTTTAAAAGCTATATCCCGGGCCCTCCCTGGTGGCGCAGTGGGTTAAAGCACAGCACAAGGAAGCTTAAGCCACTTCCACATGAGTTCGATCCCCGCCTGCCCCTGAGGAGATCCACATGGCGAGACAGACCTCTCCTGACCCGCCCGCTGCTCCCCTTAGCAGTGTACTTTGTCCGATCTGCCTGTTCTGTTCCCCACTCTGTCTCTGGTGAATCCTCTCACCACCCCTGCACCTCTGGTCTGTACCCTAGTTACAAATAAATCTTTAAAAAAAAAACAACTCTTATGAAGAGAAATTTCTACAGATCTAAAGTATGTGTATGTGTTAAACTTCTAATTCATGGAGGTGTTCCCAGTTTGAAATTTTTGAGTGAATATTTATAGGAAAGAAATTAGGGAAGTAGAACCAATTAGACTGAGTCAAACTAATCCTTTATGTGTTGTCTAATAAAATGTGATGAATGTCTGTAGTACTTAGGAATTCCAAATACATTTTTAGGTATATTTTCAAATTTAACTCTCAAATATTAACTCTTAATGAAATAGTAATTATCAGTTTTTCAGACAAGAAAACTGATCCTTAGAAAATTTAACAATATACATACCTAATAAGTTGCAGATTCAGTTTCTGCTCCTCTGGATTCAGAAAAACTATATTTTCCTTACCCTTTGCATTTATAATTCTGGAATTCTCAAACACTGATTTCACTTGCAAAAAAAAATAACCTTTATCTTATAGTTGAAATATAAGGAAAAAGAATATAAACAAGCATGGGAAGTGATGACACAAAGAAAATACAAGGTAAGAAATTCACACATCATATATCTGAAATTAGTTTTATAGTATAGTTGTGGAATATAGTTAAGATTATCTGACGGGACCCAGGAAAGGAGAGACTGGTATAGCAGTTTACAGAAATATTTATTGAGCACCTTCTGTGTATCTGTCAAACTGACTTCAGGAAACTGACATCTTAGTGGAAAAGGCATGCTGATAATTGTAATACCATATATAATTTTATTTAAATCATTAAAATCAAGAGAACAAATTGTTTAAAGGATATAGTAAATAATTTTGTATAAAAATGATTTTTTTAAATTGTACATAGATAAATATTTTTTTGTATTTTGTGACTTTTGTATGCTAGGCATTTTTATTTTGGGATTACAGTTTTTTTTTTAAAGATATATTTATTTATGCTCACAGAACTGGGGTACAGGCCAGAGGTATGGTGGGTGAGAGGATTCACCAGAACAGGGTGCTTCAACCCATTGCGCCACGAGGGAGAGCCCAGGATTACAGTTTTTACTCCTTCATGTGTGTACTCATTTTCCAGCAACTCTTCCATACCTATGTTCCATCTACCTTCCTCCTCCACCTTCTTTTTACTCCCTATCGTTCCCTCTGGTAACAATTAAATGCTTTTACTAAGTCCAGAATTCATTTCTGTTTTATTTTTTTCTGTGTCTGTTTTTTGGTTATCTATATTATACAGATAAGTAAAATCATCTGATATCTTTCTTTCAATTTATGACTTGTTGCACTTAATCACCTTGGGGTCCATCCATTTTGTCCCAAAAGACACTATTTCATCTTTTTTAATAACTATATAGTATTTTTTAAAAAGATTTAAAAAAATTTTATGCAGCTGTAGGCTGAAGGGGTGTGGGCTGTGTTGAGAGGACTCACCAGAGACAGAGAGGGGGCCAGAACAGGCAGATCTACTGAAACACACTGCTGAGAAGAGCAGCAGGCAAGACAGGAGAGGTCTGCTGTGACTGTGGGTCAGCTCCCTGGCATCTAACTCTGCTTTGATTACTAGTGCTGGCTTTAACCTCGATGCCACCAGGGTGATTCAATAGCTGTGTAGTATTATTACATTGTGTTTATATCCCACAATTTCTTTATCCATTTGCCTGTGATGGACTTAGGTTAGTTCTATGCTTTGTCAGTTGTGGGCAGTGCTACTCTAAACATATGCGAACATAAATCTTTTTGTATAAACCCATTTTGGCTTTATTTAAAGATAACATTTGAATTTTTCTATTCCTATTATTTCATACACAAGTAAGACTAAATATAAGTTAACTTCGAGTTCCTTTAAAGAGCATCTTCTCATGTAACTTTACTGCTTGATAGAGTGTAAAAGTAATATATGCTTATTATTTAAGATGCCAAGCATTACAAAGATGTATATTAGAAAATAAAATTTAAGTGTTTGGTTTTTGAAAGGAAACATTTAGTTCAAAGTAACTAAATTTTTGCCCTTTAGAAATGAAGACGGACCTGAACCTATTACTGGAGTGTCTGAAGTATCAAATGGACAACCCTTTTTCACAAAAGGAAGCTTTGGTCACTATTCATTCAATCTGTCAACAAAACAGTAAGGCATGATAGTGAATTTTTATGTGTGATTCTAGTTCTTTAGTACTGTGATATGTGAGGCATTATCTCGTACTCATTAACTCTATATGTTACGAAACTATCTTCATGTTATTTATTTTATCCTTAGAAATAGCAAAATAGGCAGCCCACCTGTGACTACACAGATGCCTGTCTTTTTTGCCTTTTTCTAGTAAACCTATCCTATTAAAATGGAAGAATAAAGGAAAATCAAAATAAATATAATTTCTTCTTTGTTTTGTCTGCATAGGTAATGCAGGTATTTATTTTCGGGAAATTGGTGGTCTGATGTTTATAAACAATCTTGCAAAGTCAAGTGAACACAGCATGGTTAAAGAAGCAGCTTTATATACACTAGGCACTATTGCAGAACAAAACGGTAAAATATAAAAACTTTATTTCATTATCCCTTAAGCATTGTGTTTTATTATAATCATCTACTAAAAATTAATTTAGATTTAAATTTATTTTTTACACTACTGCATAATTTTATTAAGGTACTTTATAAGTTGGAGATAACCCATATATAACCATTTTCACTAAATAAGCTCTGGGTGTAGAACTTAATGTTGACAAAAATATTTTCTGCAATATACTTGAAATGAGATTGAATCTAAACCATTGATTTGTCAAACAACTTAATATTTTTGTATTTTTACTCACTAAATATTTCTTCACTTGTGAAGAACCAAAGTCCTGTACTTTGGGGATATAGAAGTAAAAAAAATAATAATCCCTCCTTTTCTAATCATAACTGGTTCTAAACGCTGGGTAAAATGTTGATTATATTCCCATGTACAAGTTATTTATTAAAAATTTTGCTTTTTGTGTGATTACCACACATGAGCAAAAAACAACAACAAAAAAAACCAACCCAGTTGGGTAGGTGTCATTTTGCTTTTTAGAAAAATATTTTCATTTCTGAACATCTTCAAAAATAGCTAAAGTGGCATCTATTCCTCTGTTTTCTAAAGCATGTCTCTGAATTTTTCTTGCTATTTTGTTCCATATTCATCCTTTTAAAATTTTATGTCATTTTAAATGTTTGCTTAGGTAGGTTTTTTTAAAAAGATTTATTTATTTATGCATACAGAACTGAGGTACAGGCCAGATGTACAGGGGGTGAGAGTATTTGTCAGAAACAGAGTGGGGAGCAGAACAGGCAGATCTACTGAAATACTGAGGGGAGCAGCGGGTGGGTCAGAAGAGGTCTGCTGCGCCATGGGGGTCAGCTCCCTGGCCAGGGACCAAACCATGCTGCAGTGACTGGCAGCTTCACAGTGTTGTGCTTTAACCCCATGCACCACCAGGGAGGGCTCTTACTTAGGTTTTTATTGGAATTTCTAAGGGGCTGCAATACATATTTTAGAGCCTAGATCAAGTACTTCAGATTAACATATTTCTTCTTTAGTTGACTGATTGAGTAAGTACATACCAATTTGTCACAGATTTTGTTGTGTTATTAATAAATGTAGAAATTAAAATATTTTTATATTTCAGTTTACTGTCAGCAGAATTTGTGTACTTCAGAATTATTTGAAGACTTAATTGGATTCTTATCTAACAATGATTCAAGCACAAATTTGAAAAGAATGACTGTGTATGTTATTTTGGTCCTGGTTTCAAATAATCGTAAGTATATCCTCTTATGTTGTAGAAACATTAAAAAAATTATAAGTTGAAACAAAGTATAATAATCCTTTTATTCTAGTCCTTATATCAATTTCCTTTTATCTTACTAACTACTAAGAACTACTTAGTTTTTTTTTAGAATTTACTAGCTTTAAGGAAGAATAATAACATACTTTTAACTGTTTGATATTTATTAATTTTAAGAAATAGTAAAATGATTTGCACTATTTAACACTGAAGAGTAAAATTTAAAAGCAAAGGAGGGGACCTCCTTGGTGGCGCAATGGTTAAAGTCTCAGCACTATCAAGCTATTAACAGCCACTGAGTCCAGGGACCTGACCCATAAGATGCAGCAGACCTCTCTTGTCTCACCCACAGTGGATTTCAGTAGATCTGCTTGTTCTGCTTTCCACTTTATCTCTGGTGAATTCTCTCATCCCCAGCACATCTGGCTTTCACTCCAGTTATTACATGCATACATTTTAAAAATCTTAAATAAAAAAAAGCAAAAGAAAAGCATTATATCATTTAGTTCAGTTGACTTTCCATGAATTGGCCATTTAATTACAATGTTTTCTCTACTGAACAGTGATGGCTTTAAATTTCATGTAGCCCTTGGCTAAAGTTTTGGTTTTGAGTTTTTTTTTTTTTTTTTAAGATTTATTTATTTATGCATGCAAGAACTGGGGTATAGGCCAGAGACAGAGTAGGGGACAGAACAGGTGGATTGATTGAAATACACTGCTGAAGGGGAGCAGCAGGGGAGATAGAAAAGGTCTGCTGTGGTATGTGGGTCACCTCCCTGGCCAAGGATCAAACTCATGCTGCAGTGGATGCTGATAGCTTCATAGGGCTGAGACTTAACCCCTTGCATCACCATGGAGGCTTTGATTTTATTTTTGAATGATTTCAGACTTAATAGAAAATTTACAAAGATAGTGTAGAGAATTCCTTTGCAGCTACTTACTAAGCTAAGGTTATTTTTTAAATATAACTACTTAATTCTTAAGATTGTTGGACATTTTACAAGCATTTTTTTTTTTCTGTTTGGGAACATATTTTGGCATTGTTACCCAGAGTCATGCAAAATAAGTGTTTTTGAAATTTTTACATGAAATTTGAGTGCTGTCTTTCTCTAAGCACATGGTTTTTTTCCATTATAACCTTAATTACAGACTTTTATCTACTGTAATTTCATGTTATATTTTGTAGTACTTTAAAATGACTTGTAAGTTAATTCAGTATTAAAATACTAAAATGTTTTCGATTTCTGCAAAAAATATTTTTGAATAAAATTCATATTCATGTAATATATGGCTATTTTTTTAAGGGACTGGACAGACTCTTGTGAGAGAAACAGGTTGTATTACAGTTCTGTCACAGTTGTTCAGGTAAGCAAGTACGAATTTCTTATTATTAACTGATTACGACTTTAACACATTTGCATTAATTTATTTTATTCTATCTTTAACCTACTAGGACAGTTCTTTCAGAATATGAAGTGAATTTGTCAGATGAAAATGTTTTCCAGAATTACCAGTTGTGGTCTTCGGTGTGTAGTACTCTGTGTGTCTGTGTTAACAATCCTCAAAATGGTAATAATCTCAGTTACGTTAAAATATAAACCTAAAGCCAAATGAAAACTGATATATTTGAAATGTCAAATTAAAACATGATTGATTTTTTTCTTCCTTTTAGGTGAGAATCAAGTGTTTTGCAGTTCACTCTTCCCACATGCTAATAACTGGCTAGTAAATTGCATGATACCTGAGATAATTCGTCCTGTATGCTCATTTATTGGACTCACCCTTGCAAATAATAGTAAGTATTTATTTTCTAGGTTGTACTTACTACATTTCAAAGCATAACAAAACCCCATTTAATTAATTATATTAATTGGATTAATGCAGTTATTTTATTCCAGTAAGTTGAGTCATGTTAGATGCATTTAGACTCTTGTAGATAGGAAAGTATTAAATGTAAATTTTTCCAGGATGTTGAGAAAGTGATAGTGGCAGCAGTTTTGTATCTCCCCAGAAAACCTCATAAAATAGAACAACTAGAAAGTAAAATTAAAAACCCAGATTGTGTTCTCTGACTATAAAGAATTAAATTAGAAATGAATAAAAATAAAATTTCTAGAATAGTCCCCAAATATGGAAATTAATTCATACTGAGAAAGAAGCAAAAGAAACACAAACCCATGAGTCTAAGATTAAATTATAAGGGAAATAAAAATGTTTTCAACTGAATGATAGCAAAATTATAATTTTCAAAAACTAGGATGCTGCAAAGTAGTGTTCAGAGGGAAATATAACACAAAGACTTACATGTGAAAGAACAAAGGTCTCAAGCAGTTATGTTAGTTTACACCTAAGAAACTAGAAAACAAACCATTGTTTTAAAATTTTCTTGCATCATTATTCATTTTTGTACAATATTTGATTTCTCCTTTCAGGTGTAATCCCTATAATTCTCCCATGACCACAATAGCCTTGAGCTATTACCATAGTCTCTTGTGCTCTTCCCTCTCCTCTTTTGACCTTTCTTCCTCCCTCAGATCTGTAGTTTGCTTGCAAATTTTGTCTTTTTCTTCATCCTTTGTACAGTTTCCATATATTTCCCTTGTAAGTGAGATCATTGATATTTTTATTTTTCCTTTTGATGTATTTTGCTTAGGACAATCCCTTCCAGCTCCATCCATGTTGCTGCAAATAGCAGGAATTTATCTTTTTTTTTTTTTTATCACTTGGGTAGTATTCCATTGTGTGTATACCTCTACTTGATCCATTTGTCTGCTTTGGGGCATTTGGGTTATTCCCATGTAAATAGTAGTGGAATAAAAATAGGGGCAAAAAATGCCCCTATGGGTATATTCCCAAGAGTAGAATCATTGGATCGTATGGTAGCTCCAGTTTTAGTCATTTAAGTGGTCTCCACACAGCTTTCAATAGTGGTTGGACCAATTTGCATTCCCACCAGCAGTGTAAGAGGCTCTTTTTTTCCATATCCTCACTAGCATTTGTTCTTTTAAAATGGGCCATTCTCACAGCTGTTTTATCTCATTGTGGTTTTGATTTGTGTTTTCCTGATTATAAGTGTTTTTCATAAACTTGTTGCCATTTGCATTTCTTTCTTTAAAAAAAAAAGAAGATTGATTTATGCATACAAGAACTGGGGTATAGGCCAGAGGTGTGGGGAGACAGAGTGGGGAGCAGAACAGGCAGATCTACTGAAATATACTGTTGAGGGGAGCAGATGAGAGAGGAGAGATCTGCTGTGTCATGTGGGTCAGCTCTCTGGCCCTGCAGGGATCCAACTCAGGCTGGCTGCAGTGGCTGATCATAGCTTGATAGCCCTAAGACTTTAACCCCTAGCCCACAAGGGAGGCCCCATTTGCAATTCTTTTTTTTTTTTTGAGAAGTGTCTGTTAGCTCTTCTGCTAATTTTTGATTGGACTGTTTGCTTTGCTTTTGTTAAGTTATATGGTATGCAAATATTTTCTCCCATTCCATTGGGTATCTTCCTTTGATTACTATCTCTTGCTGTGTAGAACCCCTAATTCGATGTATTCCCAGCTATTTATCTTTTCCTTCATTTTCTTTGCTTCTGGGCATGAATCTGAAGATGTTTGTGAGGTGTATATCATGGAGTGTATTGCCTATGTTAGAAAACAAAGCATGTGAAACTCAAAAGTAAATGTGACAAAGTGAATAATAGATCAGAAAGCAATGAAATAGAAAAGGAGCTGAATAAGAGAGAAGGAGGTTGGAAAATCATGTAAAAGTGGTCAAATTACAGGGTAAAGGATAGCATCAAACTTTTAGTGAACCTAATGTATTATACAAATACTGATTTAGAAAGATGCAGGGCTGAAACTTATACACTATTATAGTGTAATTTTACCTCACTAAAACTTTCTCAATAAAAAAGAGCTGACTAACAAAACAAAAAAAAATTCAAGAAGATTGATGAAATATATACTCTAGCTGGACACATCACAAGATAAGAGGAGAAGGCCCAAATTACCAGTATCAGGAATGAAAGGTCATACGTTGTAGATCTTATAGATATTAAAAGGAAGATAAAAGAATAGTACAATTTTATTCCATTAAATTTTACAACTTACATGAATTAGACAAAAGTGAAAAGACCCAAACTATCAACACTTACTGTCGGAGACCAGCTCCAACTTTTGAGGTGTCTGGAGGCAACACAGGCAGGACCCTAAGATGGGAAGGCTTCGGAGTGCGGAGATTCCAAGAGGGGGAGAGGAGCGGGTGTGAGGAAGACACGGGAGTCGGAGTTGGGTGCAAATCTTCCTGCTCTGCCTTCAGCAGAGGTTTATTTTATACATTTCCAGCAGGCAGGGGGATGGCATTAGCATACGAAAGGGGTTAAGATCACAATCACCTTTTTTCTAAGAAAATGGTCTGGGTCGCAGGAAGAGGAAATTTCTTGCTAATCAAGAAACTTGCTAAAAGGTTTCAAGTAAGTTTTTCTACTTTGAGGAAACTTGCTAAAAGGTTTCAAGTAAGTTTTCTACTTTGAGGAAACTTGCTAAAAGGTTTCAAGTAAGTTTTCTACTTTGAGGAAACTTGCTAAAAGGTTTTAAGTAAGTTTCCTTGAGGTCTAGGCATAATTTGCTCTGAATAGGAGAGGTAGGTGAATTTCCTTATCTAAAGACTAGATAGTAGAATCCTGAAAGACTAGCCAGAAAGACTTTTGTGGATTGCTTTGAAGTGTAGCAGGGAAAAAACTTGACTAGCTCTAAAACAGGCAACCTGGATGAATTTCCATATCTAAAGCCAGACAGTAGGAAGTTTGAGTAATTCTGTAGAAGCTGAATAGGAGGCTAGGCGAGATAGCAGAATAAGATTTGGGTTTTCCTCCGTCCAGCAGTGAGAGACTTTGCAGAAATAGCCCTTTTGTTTTTATTGATCAGCCAGTTGTTAAGTCACTTTTGACTTCAGAGGAATTTCTCACCCTGGTGCGGTGCTTGCTTGTCAGGGCAGGCAGGCCTTATGCAGCTGAGGCAATCCAATTGTAGGCTGAAAGTTGCTCAGAATATTTTGATATTACGATTATACAAAAAAGGGAGGTCATAACATAAGTTAGCATGGAAAGTCTGATCTTTCAGAGCTTTTCCCGAGCTACCCGGAATCTGTCAGACGATAGCCGTCGCATAGCTTGTGTCAACTTACTAAGAAGTAGGCAACCTGAATATTTCTGCATATATTTTAAAAAATCACAACAGGAATTTCAGGCTTAGATGACTTCACTGGTGAATTCTATAAAACGTATAAGGAAAAAACATATAAATTATTCCAGGAAATAGAAGTGGAAGAAGTACTTCCCAAAACATTTTATAAGGACAATTTTAACCCTCTACCAAAGACAACTTTACACCAACATCTTATGAACATAGATACATGCTTAACAAAATAGTAAAAAATCAGTTTCAATTATATATAGAAATGTTAATATATTATGACCAACTGGCCTTTATCATAGGAATGCAAGATTGATTTAACATTAGAAAGCACACTACATTCGCAGGCTAGAAAAGAAAATTTATATTATAACCTCAGTAGATGAAGGAAAAGCTTCTTACATAATTCAACATACATTAGGAGTAGCCTGTTTTGCATATAAATCTGAATCTTCATTATTTAGACTCTAACTAGTGGTAACATAGTACCATTTTCATCTAAGCCTAAATGTACTTCCTTTTTTCAATTTTTTTTTTTTTTAAGATTTATTTATTCTTACAGAACTGGGGTACAGGTCAGAAATGCGGAGGGTGAGAAGATTCACCAGAGACAGAGTGGGAAGCAGAACAGGCAGATTGACGAAGTACAATGCTGAGGGGAGCAGCGGGCGGGTCAGGAGAGGTCTGCCTTGCCATGTGGATCACCTCCGGGGCAGGCAGTAATCGAACTCATGCAGAAGTGGTTTAAGCTTCTTTGTGCTGTGCTTTAATCCGCTGCACCACAAAGGAGGGCCCACAAGTTTTTTTTTCTTTTTTAATGACAGTACTCTGTCATAAAGAAGCCTGTTTTTGTGTCTCCTTTATGTTGCAACTGTTTTCTTAATTCCTTCCCTGTGTGTAGAAAATGCTGAACATGATTTTTAAGATTAATATCTATTATATCAATTAGAAAAATAATTTTGTCTTTAAATCTTGGCTTAATTTATATTACTGGGGTAGATTGGAAGAGTTACCTCAGTAGTCCATAAGTATTAGTGATAAGCACATTGTTGGGATTGTAACAGGGTGGTCCCTAGGAAAAAGGGAAGTTCCAGGTTCCCTGCCCCATCCAGAAGGAGGGTGGAGGTGAGCAGAGAAAAAAGAGAAGAGAGAAGAAGAGAAGGAAGCAGGATGGAGAGCCAGAAGGAGGCCTGAGGAAGCCAAATGGAGCAGCAAGCATGTGATGAAGAAACCGGGCTTGTTTCCTGACCCTGGGCTGGTTAAGGCAGATGTGGGTGAGATACCTGTAGGGAGGTGACTGTGGCAGCTTTTATATTGATTTTGATGTTGCTCTTTTCCTCCCAGATTTGTCTGGCCATTTCTGACCCTTTTCCATGGATCCCGGCCAGAAGGTGCTTTAGTCTTGTGGCAGCTTTCAGGCTTTGTTTTGGGCCAATCCCTTTTGGGGTGACTTTTGCCCACGAGGGGATGGGTCACTTCAGGTGTTTGATTTAGAAGTTATATTCTTTGTGTTCCATATTGTATATTCACTGTATTAAAGTCCCTTTTCATTAAAGTTTTATATGTTTTTTCTTGTTGCGGCGGATGGCAGAACCCACTTAGAGCAGGCAGGATTTTGGGGCTTCAGGGGTGTCCCTCTCCCCCTGTTCTGGAACAGATTTGGGGTGCCCTATAACAGGATGAGTTTGGAGACTATTATATACACAGACCCAATGGGATACCTGTTGAATCATTTTCATCAGGAGGAGAAAAGACTTTCAGACTTAAAAAATTGTATACATCAGGAGCCTCCCTGGTGGTAGAGGGTTAAGTATCAGCACCATCAAGCTATCTGCTGTCACTGCCTCATAAATTCAGTCCCTGGCCAGGGAGCTGAATATATATGGTGCCGCAGACCTCTCCTGTATAGCCCACTGCACTCTCCTCAGTACAGTATTTCAGTAGGTCTGTTATAGGGCAGCAAATCTGTTCCAGGACAGGGGGAGAAGAGCACTCCTGAAATCCCAAAAACCTGCCTGCACTAAGTGGGTTCTGCCATCTGCCACAACAAGACAAAACATATAAAACTTTAATGAAAAGGAACTTTAATACAGTAAATATACAATACAGAACACAAAGAATATAACTTCCAAATCAAACATCTGAAGTTACCCATCCCCTCATGGGCAAAAGTCAACCCAAAAGGGACTGGTCCAAAGCAAGGCCTGAAAGCTGCCACTAGACTAAAGCACCTTCTGGCCGGGACCCATGGAAAAGGGTCAGAAATGGCCAGACAAATCTGGGAGGAAAAGAGAAAAATCAAAATCAGTCTAAACACTGCCATTATCACCTCCCTGCAGGTCTCTCGCCCACATCTGCCTTAACCAGTCCAGGGTAAGGAAACAAGCAGTTTCCTCATCACATGCTTGCTGCTCCCTGTGGCTTTCTCAGGTTTCCTTGTTCTCCATCCAGCTTCCTTCCTTTCTTCTCTCTTGATTCCTTCTTTTCTCTCCTTTTTCTCTGCTCAGCTCCACCCTTCTGGGTGGGGCAGGGAACCTGGAACTTCCCTTTTTCCTAGGGAACACCCTGTTACAGGTCTACCTGTTCTGCTCCCAACTCTGTCTCTGGTGAATCCTCTCATACACACCCCTACCCCTTCCCTCTGGCCAATACCACAGTTCTTGTATGCATAAATGAATAAATCTTTTTTTTTTTTTTAAGTATGTATTGGACTCTCCCTGGTGGCACAATGGATTAGGACACAGCACTGCAAGCTAGCCACAGCTGCTTCAGTGTGAGTTTGATCACAGGCCCCATAGGGGATCCACATGGCGCAGCAGACCTCTCCTGTCTTGTCCCCTGTTCCCCTTAACAGTGTACTTTAGTGATCTGCCTGTTCTGCTCCCCACTTTATCTCTGTTGAAGTCTCTCACTGCCCCTACACCTCTGGCCTCTACTCAGTTTTGTATGAATAAATAAATAAATCTCTAAAAAAAGTAAATAAAATCTAAGGAGCAGGAATAATTTTAGAAAAGTATATATTATTGATTCTGGCCCTCCCTGGTGGCGCAGCCGGTTAAAGCACGGCACTAAGAAGCTAAAGCCAGTTCCGCATGAGTTCGATCCCCACCTGCCCCGGAGGTGACCACATGGCCCGACAGACCTCTCCTGACCCTCCCGCTGCTCCCCTCAGCAGTGTACTTCGTCAGTCAACCTGTTCTAATCCCCACTCTGTCTCTGGTGAATCCTCTCACCACCCCCTGCTCCTCTGGCCTGTACCCCAGTTCTGATTACATAAATAAATATTTAAAAAAAATTTTTTAATTAAAAAAATTAAAAAAAGAAAGTATATATCATTGATTCCGTGCTTAAAAAAGTTGTTTGACTCTCAATAATATGTTAACATTTTATGCTCCAAAAAGTATAAGGATTAGGTTTAAGTAAGATGAATAAAATGTGTTCTTTTAAAATAAATTATTTTGTCTTTAATAAATCATGAGGTATGAGTTATAATGGAATTCAGAAAATAAGCAACTTTCTAATATAGTATCTAGCTAAAAGAATAAATCAGTTCTTTATAGCTTTACTCAAAGGACTTGAATTTAATAATGTTGTTCTTATAAAATAATGCTAGTTATCACTAAATGAGAAGAGGTTATCTAACACACAAGAAAGAAATACATATAGTTATACTAAGTCAAGTGAGTTTCTTACATAGTAAGTAATCCATTTTATGATTATGCACAGTTAAATACTGGAATTTGAATTTTTGTAAGTTTTTAAAAACAAGTTAATGTTGTATTAGGGCAAATTAATTGATGTCTGTCCTGTTTGAGGTGTTAGTAATTTTGCTACTTTATATCTTAAGCACAGGTTCAGAAATACTTTGTATCTGTGGGTGGACTGGATATATTGTCTCAAGTCCTTGTGCAGCTGGAATCTGATTCACACAGCTCTGTCTCCAGTGCTAAACTTGCTGTGGTGGTGACAAAGACAGTGGATGCATGTATTGCTGATAATCGTGAGTAAAGTGCTAAGTAATGTTTCTATAACTGCATTTTGTTTTAATTCAGCATGTGAATGTTGAAGTAGTAGATTGAATACTTCCAATTTCTCCTAAGTAGGAAGAAATTAGAAATTTTGTAATGTAACTCATTTTCATGGAGGTTATGACTTTCTGAGAGTTCATATCTAGGCCTTTGAGTTCAATTGTAGTGATAATAGTCAAGAAAAATTTCTATAATTTCTAAGTCTTTGTTTCATTTAAGAAACTAATAGTTTACATAATAAGTAAAGGGACATTTTTGAGACATAAAGAATGGAAAGCCCAACTTGAAGATTTTTTTAAAAATTATGTAAAGAAAGCATGAGGTCTGACTTTACCAACACACCTAACTAGTGAATGAGAGTCACACTTGAAACCATGGCTTTTGTTCACATGTATATACACCAAAGAATAAGTTGTAAATCTTTGTAACAAGCAAATAACTGAAAAGAAAAATAGATGGATTTTTAAAAATCAGTGATGGAGGGCCTGCTAGGTGCTGGGCTCTATGTGAGTTCTAGTAATACAAAATGATTAAGATACAGACTCTTGAGGAATTTACAACCTTAGTTTTGATACCATTATTGTTAGACTGTGGGTGAATTCATACACAAGAGGAGAATAAAAGCTCCATGAGGATAATTATAGTTTCAAATAAAAGCTTTTTGAACATCTCAGCTTAGCTTCAGGTACGTGTCATTGAATCATTACCATTAGTAGATCAGGACCAGTTAATAGTATAATTCCATAAAAGACAGGTTACACAGGTTACTTTTCAGTCTAGATAAAAAGAGTAAACATATTCAGCATTTAGGAAGTTAGTGATAATCATATTCACAACATAATGAGGACAGTTAAGAAAAAATAATTCTTTTATATTGTCTTTAATGTGGGAGAGGTATTAATGAGGGCTATATAAGCCACTTATTATAGTGCATTTATTTATATTGACATAATTTACAAAATATATCAGGTATGAATATTAGCGGTTACATAGATATAAGCCTCCTAGAACAAGATCTGGAAAATGTGTGCAAGAGTTGAAAAACAGTAGATATATAGTTTGTTAAGTTTGTAATTACTGCCATTTTTTTTTCTATTTTATACTAATAGCTACTTTTGGGGTAGTTTTGTCCAAGTACTGCATTGTTTCAAAACTTCTGGCATTACTACTTCATGAAAGTCTGGATTCAGGAGAAAAATTTAGCATAATACTTACTCTTGGTCATTGCACAGAGGATTGTGGTAAGTATTGGATTTATTTAGTATGCTTAGTAAGACAGTGGAGTGGAAAGATGCTTTCTCCCTCCGAGTTACTTGAAAGGTTTTAAAGCATTGCCTTTCTTCTACTAAGGCCCCAAATTAGTCATTTTGCTTCCCCGTCTCCTTCAGCCAGTGAATTTAGTCACACATTAAGAACTGTAGTCCTTTTTACCCCACCTGTCTTTTTCTGCTCAATTCTGGAATTGGGCTAGCCTCCCAATTTGGTCTTCAGTCCATGGCATCTTGCCAGTATTATCATAATAGCTTCCTCCTTGTGCCCCCTTCGGTCTACCTTCATTCTTCAGCGCACTCTCACTGCTGAACAGGTTTGATCCTGTTCTCCTGTGCCAGAAACCCTCAAAAGTTCTTTCTCTACCTGACATTCTAGCCTGCCTTCATTTCTTTCTGCCATTTTCCTCTCTCTCTCTACTCTTTCCCTTTCCAACCCTCTCCATATTCCTCTTTCACCTGTCTTCTTCAATCTCCTCTACTCCCTTCACATTTTCCACTCTCCTCTTTCTGTTTTTCTCTTCTCTCCCTCATTGTATTTTCTACTATATCAGTTTATTTGTTTAATTTTTCTCTTAATCCCTGTATGATTTAGGATTTACTATATATATATTTGTATACACACATATGTATACATATGTATACATATGTGTGTGTATATATATGTATGTGTGTATATACACTTTTTTTTTAAACCAAGTGAGCACAGTTTGTTTGCTCTCAGGAGGTGTGACACTACTCGGTGACTGTGCTTCAGAGATCACTTATGAGACTTGGGTATATGATGTAACTGGATTGTTTCCTAAAATGAAAATATTTTTTAAACTGTTCATAATTATCACAAGGAAGAATTGTGATCTCATGCACATAATTTATGATAAAATAACTATCTTCTATTTTATTTCTTGATGTATTTTCTAGAGGAAAATCAGTATGATCTTTTTAAAAACAATGGACTTCCACTCATGATACAAGCCTTAACTGATTCTCAGAATGAGGAGCTAAACAAAGCTGCTACTTTCGTACTTCACAATTGTAAAAAAATTAGTAAGTTTACTATTACTTTAAGAAAATATCAACCAGTGTGTATGAGGGGTAATTTATATTTGCTTTGATGAATCAAGCCGTTGTACTTCCTAGATTCTTACTTTTGAAAAGTAGAGCATATGTAATTTGACATGACAAGTAGTGTATTTCAGCATGAACAAGAGAGCACTAATTTTAAACAATTGGATAAATATAATTATGAGACTTGTACTTGAGGTCTGAGGGTGATTTAGGAGTAAATCATAAAGTACATTTACTTATCTTAAAAATGTGTTAGTGCCTTTCATTTGCCAGATACTACATTAAGTTTTAGAGATAAATTCTAAGAAACAATATTCTATGCACTCAGTATAACTAGAGAAATAGTAATTGAATACTTTCTAAAATGAATATATTAAAATTAATCTAAGGATAAGAATGTATGGAGCTCAGCTCTTACCCTATAATAAAGGAAGCTCATCTAGACTTAGGGCAGAAGATGCTTCAGGAAAAAGTATTTTTTTCCCTAAGATTTATTTATGTATGCATATAAGAACTCGTGTACAGGCCAGAGGTATGGGTGAGTGGGTGAGAGGATTCACCAGAAACAGAGTGGGGAGCAGAACAGGCAGACTGATGAAATACACTGCTGAGGAGAGCTGCATAGGAGAGAGGAGAGGCCTGCTGTGCCCTGTGGGTCAGCTCCCTGGTTGGGTATGACTATCAAGTTGCAGTAGCTGCTGAAAGCTTGATGAGTGCTATGTCTTTAACCCCTTGTCACAGGGAGGCCCAGGAAAAAAGTGATTCTTGATCTAACACTTGAACATACAGTTATTTAGGTAAAAAGATGGGAATTTGTTAGGACTAAGTGTCTCAGGCATAACCACTGTGAGGCACAAAGGCCTTGCAATAGAAGGGAGCCCGAACATTGAAGGAAATGATGGCCAATGTTGATGAAGCACATAGGGAGGGCAATGTCTATGAATATGATACTGTCTTTGTGGGAGAAAAATTGCCACTGCAATATGTGAAAAGTGTGTTAGAAGATTATAGGAATGAGCTACTTTATGAAAATTGTTTAAGAAATTAAACTTTTAAAACCAGTATCCATAAAACCAGTATCCATACATCTGAATACTTTATGTGTCTGGCATAATGTATTTTCATGCCATTCTTTTTAGTGTAACTCTGAAGAGTAAAGTCTAAGTTATGACTCTCTGGGTTCTGAGCCTCTGCCGGACCCTTATTTTTAATACCATTTAGGCAGTTAAGACAGACTGAACGGGCAAAATTTATAGGAGAGAGTGCAAGGGGGTATGGTCTATAGGATGTCCTTATTTAAAATATTATTAACCTTTTTAGTAACTGATGGGCTCATTGTTTTTCCCCCCATAAGCTGAAAAATTAAGTCTAGGAGAATATTCTTTTGACGAAAATGAAGTAAAACAATTAAATGACATAAATATGAAAGAGAAGAATCTTGGAGACTTCTGGAAGAAAGCAAAGGAAATTCTGTACAGAATAGAGCAGCTTGAGAAAGAAGGAAACGAGGTTGGTTTCTTTGTTTCAAAGAATATAGAACATTTTTCAAATATTAACAATAGAGGTTGGAGGGTAAAATAGTTCTCTTGACAATTTTTTAAAACTGTAATGGTTTTAAATTTGAATTTAAAGTTATTAGTAATACTTGAGAAATCATTCATGAATATAGAAAAAAGAAATTAAAAAAAGGAAGTAATGACTGAAAAAATACAAAGCGTTAATACAGAGTCAAGTATATAATATCTGTGTAAGAGGGCTACAAGGGAAGTCTGTAGAAGTAATTCTATTACACAAATGCATGTGTGTGTGAGATGTGGATTATGTGTTTATGTGAATATACATTTCCATATTTCTCTATGTATATATACTGTGTTATCATATGTCCATGTATTTTTAAAAAAAAACTTTCTTTGTAGAAGTTGTACCAATTTACACTCCTATTGCCCTGTACTCAGGTGTGTGTGTGTGTATGTGTGTTTTAAAGACTTATTTTTTTATGCATACAGAACTGGGGTATAGGCCAGAGGTGTGGGCTGGTGAGAGGCTTCACCCAAGACAGAATGGGGAACAGAACAGGCAAATTGGTGAAGTACACTGCTGAGGGGAGCAGTGGGCAGGTCAGGAGAGGTCTGCCATACCTGTGGATCACCTCTGGGGCAGGGATCCAACGCAGGCTGTAGTGGCTTTTCTTAGTGCTGTGCTTTAACCCACTGCACCACCAGGGAGAGCCCATGGGTGTATTTTTAAACTCTCTTGATCTTTGCCAATGTCATAGGTTGACTTTGATAGAAAGAGAATTACGTTTTGCTTTAATGTTCATTTTTCTTATTATAAGTGGGTTGGAATAGAATTGGAAGATTTTTTTCATATGTTTAAGGAGTATTTAGATTTCTTTGCTTTGAACTGTTCATTTCTTTTGTGTGTTTTCCTAACTTTTGTTTATCTTTTCCATATTTCACTGTAGTAGTTTTTTATAAACATGACTAGAAAAAATGTACTACAGATCAAAATATGACATACATATATATATATATGCACTTTCTGGGCATTTTGATTTCATTTTGTTTTGCAACTGGCCCTTTCTTCTTTGAGTTTTTCCTCTTTTATATTGTTCCTGATCCCTAGGAGAAGTTAAAAAAATACTTGTATGGTCAAATATATTAGTTTTTTATTTTTAGGTTAGTGATTTTGTGTAATATTTGGAAAGGCTTTTCTCCCTTTGAGAATGTTAAATATGATTTTTCTTTTAAAATATATTATTTCATTTTTTATATTTAAATGTTTAGTTAAGTTTGACTTTGTTTATGTGTAATTATCAGATATTCAAATTATTTTTCTTCAATAACTACCCAGTTGTGCCAATTGCTTATTGAATAGATGCCCTTTTTCTTCCTAATATTAACTGCCCCTTTTATCATGCAAATTCTATTGACATTTTTAAACTTTCTGCACTATTTAAAGGGAGTATAAATTGGACTTTAAAACAAATAGATTATTTTCAGGTTATTTACTTGTCATTTTCACATTATAGGAAAAAATACAAGGAGAAACTTTTAATAATAATGTTTCATCTGTGAGTATAAATACTTTTGATACTTTGAAACAACTCCAGGCAGATGGTATTGGTGGTGATCCCAAAGCGGAAGATAAGAATAAAAGCCAGTTTGGAGTCACATCTACAGCCTGTGGAGAAGATGACCAACTGAAGACCCTGTTAAAGACAGCAAATCCAGTTAATGCTTGTTATAGGGAGAGTGAGAGAAAGAAGACTCTATATAAAACCAATTTAAACTGCAATCAAAATTTATTGGAAGAAACAAACACTGCAGAAAGGAATTGTCTTTCTCATCCAAGGTATAGTTTAATAATTGTTTCTAACTTTATTTATTCCATACATGTTTTTATTCAGTTCTGTGTGTCACACTGGGATATAGAGGTGAAAAAAATGTAGTTTTATTTTTTTTTAAGATTTATTTACTTATTTTTTTAAAAGATTTATTTATGCTTACAGAACTGGGGTACAGGTGTGGTAGGTGAGAGGATTCACCAGAGACAGAGTGGGGAACAGAACAGGCAGATTGATAAAGTACACTGCTGAGGGTAGCAGTGGGCAGGTCAGTAGAAGTCTGCCACGCCATGAGGGTTATCTCCTTGGCTGGGAATTGAACTCATGCTGCAGTGGCTTCAGAGAGCTTCATAATGCGGTGCTTTAACCTGTTATGCCACCAAAGAGAGCCCTAAAGATTTATTTATGCCACCAAAGAGAGCCCTAAAGATGTATTTATTTATGCATACAGAACTGGGGTACAGGCTGGAGGTGGAGGGGCAGTGAGGAGATTCACCAGAGACACAGGGGGGAGCAGAACAGGCAGATCGACAAAGTACACTCCCAAGGGGAGCAGCAGGCGGGTCAGGAGAAGTCTGCCACTCCTTGTGGATCACCTCCAGGGTGAAGATCAAACTCATGCTGAAGTGGCTTTAGCTTCTTTCTGCTATGCTTTTAACCCACTTCGCCAGCAGGGAGGGCTGTTTTATATTTTAAAGCAGGAAATACAGGGAAAGGAATTTGAATGAAGACTTATGGAGTAGTTCTATGAGGGCATTTTATGGCATAGACTTTTCAGTTTCACTAATACAGTATAGAAAGTCATTGGTGATTTAAGTTGACTGATATGATCATATTTGAATTTTAGAAAGGATATTCAGAAAAGAAAACCTGAGTCAAAACCCTATACCTAAAATAACAATGCATGTATCGATTATTGATCATCCATGTACGAAAACTCCATTTGTAAATTCAGTGTGATCAAGGGAGTGGGATCTGGTGAAACCCTGAATTAGGCTTGCGCTTTTACTTGTTTCCTGCACCTCCCTTGAGTGCACATGCTCATTCCCCCACAGGTGGCCTGTGGGCTTATCCTGGGAGTGCAGCTTTTCTTGTTAAAACCTTTCTTGTGGCCCTCCCTGGTGGCGCAGCGCAGCGTGTTAAAGCACAGTACTGAGAATCTAAAGCCGCTTCCGCATGAGTTCGATCCCAGCCTGCCCCGGAGGTGACCACATGGCGAGGCAGACCTCTCCTGACCCGCACACTGCTCCCCTCAGCAGTGTACTCCCTCGATCTGCCTATTCTGCTCCCCACTCTGTCTCTGGTGAAGCCTCTCACTGCCCCTGAGCCTCTGGCCTGTGCCCCAGTTCTATATGCACAAATAAATAAATCTTAAAAAAAAAAAAAAAAAAAACCTTTCTTGTGCTGCTCTTCTGATGGTTACTGTGCTGGTGGGAAGTGGAGAAGATGATGCTGTGTTGCAGGTCAAACTAAGTATCTGGAAGGTGATTTTATCACCACTACCATTTTTTTCCTTTTCAAAAATTCCTTTCAAAATCTTGGTATTTTAACTTGATTTCTCAAAGATGTGGAATTAGAAAGCAGCAAGATATGGTCTTTAACCACTCTTACTGCCTGTTGGTCACTGATTACATTCCCTTTAGTTTTTTCTTCATCCCTTATTTTCTACTTTTAAAATCTTTTTCTTCCATATTTCTGCAGGCATCAATGTTATTACTACCTGGAGTCTGGTTTAACTCTAGTTTTAGAGATAAACTGTAACCAGTGTAGGACCTACTTTTGCAAGCTTTTGTTAGGTTTTGGTAGACCTTGACCCAGCTCCTTCTGCTTGCCAAACCCCCATTATTGCACCTGTGCTTGCAGAAACAGTTGTCTGCACAACAAACATTATATGAACAAACAGTATGTTTATTGTAATCTGGTGTGTGTCTTTGCCTTTAGTGACCAGATTTTTAAACATCCAACTCCTATTGTCAAAAATAGAAAGCAGCAGCTACCAGTAACAGGTATGATTACAAATATGTCTTCCTTGATTTTTCAACAAAACAGTTGTTTAGGGGACTAACATAGCTAAGAATGTATATTGCTACATCTTTGCTCTAATGTACAAACCATTCCTTAACTCTCTTTTTAACTTCAGTCACCTATTGATATCTAGAACCTTTCTGTTTACCTACCAGAATGACTGGATGTGTAGTACTGGGCTAAGGTTTATAAAAGTCTGGAAACTTAATAAATCTTGTAACTCTTATGTCCTTTTAATTAATAAAAAAATCTTAACATTTTGCATTTTTTCCAGATCCATTTACATTATGTTCAGATATAATAAATAAAGAAGTTATCAGTTTACTAGCAACTGACAACTGTTCCAAACTATTGAAGTATAGATGCTCAGGTAAATATTTTTTAATTGTATTTGTTTCATAAGTAAGATTTTATATGCTATTAGTTAACTAGAGTTTATACTAGTTCTACCCATGTGATTTAAACTTCATTTTCTCTGGACCAATGACAACATGGAATATCATAAAATATTAAAACTAGTACCTCTGTCTGCACCAGGGTACAATTCCAAAATTTGTTTATATGAATCAACATGACTCATATATATTTTTTAAAGATTTATTTATTTATGCATATAGAGCTGGGGTACAGGCCAGAGGTGCAGGGGCAGTGAGAGGATTCACCAGACACAGAGT